GCCAAGGTACCAATACTTATGGGCGCCAACTTTAGACTGAGATCTTGCTCATGTCTTGCATGGGATGCGACGCCCTCGACCGCACTGCCGTGTTGTCTTTCAGCACTGTCTGCCAATGCTGGCACCCGCCTGTAGTCGAACATCTCCAGCGGTCTCTCAGAGGTGTTTTCGTCTGTCACTGACTCGAGACCGCCGGTTTCCACGGGAGTCTCGTGTTCCGCCGGGAGCATCCGCTGTTGGTTCGGGTCCGCACAGCCCATACGTCATCACCACCGATCTTCTGCCTCCATTTCCCGTCACGATCTTAGACACCACCAGCCACATGACTGGGCCACGCGAATCCATTTCCGACCACCCGCGAAACTTTGGACACGGCATCTTGTCATCAGATCTGCGACCACTGCAACCTCCTCAACTGCCAGTCATTTTTATCTCCCTTTTGGGTTCTTTCATTTTCCGATCATCTGGCATCCACCGTCTGCCACTCACGAAAGCTGCTCCGATTTCATATCTTATTCTCTCCATCTTCTAGTCTGCAAACAAGAATTGCTCTGCATCATTGCCATTTGGATCACAGCGTTTAGCACAGAGCAAGAGAGAACAGCAGCATCCGCATCGGATTCGCAGTTGCTGGCTGACTGCCTTGATAGAGGCATTGTACGGTTGAAGCTTTACTGGTTTGCGCCCTTCGTGTTGCGTCTGTCGCGGTGTCTCGACTCACCACACCATTCGATCCCCTCCTTTCTGGTTGTCCTTCTCATTCGCCGTCTCTACATTTGGAGACGTGATTGAGTTTACATCTTTCATACGTACGCCATCATCTTCTCAGCGTTATTCCCCGGGATCTCCCACAATTTCCTTCTGCTCATGTCTCATTTCCGCGGCGCTCCCTCAATTCCTGCACGCCTCGACCTTCATTCGACCTGGCGGCATGCGCAATGGCAACCAAAACACGACCCGCAGTCACATATCCAAGAATGGCGGGACGCTAAACGCTGGACCGAATATGCTCAAGGAGCGTTGTGGTCATCTCCGCCTTCGTCACGCCTCGAATCTGCCCGAGTTTCCTCACCATCCCCCCTCGGCTTGGTCTTCCTTCTTCTACGCCTCTACAACAACTCAATGTCGGTGCTCCCACGCTGGGCCAACAAGCAAACACAACTTCCCTGCGGTGTCATCCTCCCACAGCAACCCCCAAAAGCTTTCACGAAACAAAACATGAAAATCTCACCAAAAAACATGTTGGGTAGAAGGTCGGGCGGTACATTTCTGATTTAAACCCTTTTCTATTCCTCCACCATCGTCAACATCATCTCCTCCACCAAACACCATCCCCCCCTGTCACACCATATCTAGTCTGAGATACCAGAGTCCATTGGGGCTCAAGCGAAGCGCAAATGTATGAATGAACAAGCGAGCGAGCAAAGCAAGCAAGCGAAAACAAGCGAGTTTGTCCTGTGTTTAACGTGTACAATGTTTCGGAGGCCTTGAATGTTCGTGCCAGAAGGTGGAAGCAGAGGAAAGAAGTGAAGGATGTTTTTGTCCCTGTCGTCGCTCGAGTGGCCAGAGAGAATAGGAGGAGGGATGCATTGGGCATATGAAGGGATTGGGTTGCCATAGACGGGTTCCGCTTCCTCACTGAGCAAATGCGCATATACTGCTTTGTCTCGTCACAACAAGAATGGGAATGGTGATTTGTGTCAACTCCCAAGATGGGTGCCAGTGGTGCACGTCACGTTGCGACGTCACCGTCCTTGCCCACTTTGTCGCCCTCAGTCTTGTTGCCCTTCTTCTCGCCCTTGTCCTTCTCCAGCTCAGCAATCTGAGCTCGCAGCCTCTCCATCTCGGCCTGGTGTTCCTCTTTCTCTTTCTTCGCGTTCGCCCTCTTGCCTACCACTATGTGAGTACATGGAACAATTGGAAGATGAGGTGCCTGAGCTTACGGGCACTGCGTGAGAGTGGGTGCTTGTTGCCCTCCTTGGCTTCGCCGTCCTTGCCCTCCAGCGCCTTTTTGGCTGCTTGCCTCTGTCTTTTGTCGCGCTGCTTTTGTGCGCGCGACTTGCCCTTATCATTGTTAGCATGTACCTATGCATCGCATCATAGCACCTACGAAGCGAGAGGGGCCGTTGTTGGTGGTGATCTTGTCACCAGCCGCGTTGTAAAGCTTTGGGGCCACTGAAAGAGCTGTTGTTTCAACGTGAAGGTAATCAATCAGCTGCGGAGTTCAGCTCACTTGTGTGTCGAGGCAGCTGGCAGCTGATGTTGTTGCGTTGAAGTGGCGCATCACCAAGTCAAAATGTGTGGGCATACAAGGAGCATTCAAGCGCCAATGCTGCCTGTTCTACCTGTGCTCTTTGGAGTTTGGCTGGTTGAGTGTGGACAAGCGCGCATCTCGCATCTCGCTGGTCGCTCTTTCCTTCCTGGTTGATACCAACCTGCCGGGCCACTTCCTCGCTCTCACGCAAGTGCCCTGCTATTCTTTCCTCCGCCACCTCACCATCTCAGACTCACGCCATTCTCGACGATTTCCTCCTCGCATCTGTCTCTACATCTCTGTTGCGCAGCACTGGGCCAGCAGCACTACCTGCAGTGCCTTCTTCGATGCGGTCGATTTCTTCTTCCTCTTCATTGTGTGCTGTGCTTCTTCGCTCTCTGCGCTTCTTCAAATCTCAGTTTACTCGCTAATCAAAGGAGAGTCTCAGGAACGACGTGGGAGAAATGCCTGTCAAAAGGCTCGATCCCGCAGCACCTCCCTCATGCGTGTATCCCGCGACCTGCGCTGCCAACGCTATCGCTGCAGCCATCAACGCTTCGCTCAACCTGTCTGTTTATGCGAGACCGTCACGGGTTATGTCGCGCCGGCAGCAGGAAGTGCGCAACGTTGTGCCCTGGCAAAGAACAACAGGCAAGTCTCGCTCATCTTGAGGAAGATACTTCGAGCTGACGTCGGTATAGGCCGCCCAATTCATCGCTCGCTCTCCCTCCCCCAATACAAATGTTCCTGCCTTCTGAATGGACTAGTCAATCGGCCGCGCCAGAATCCCTTGACCCACAAGTCAACCTTGCTCTCAGCTTTACATAAATGGAAGGCCGAGGTGTCCCAACGGGACGCGGCTTCTAGGGCGCCAGTCTCAATATTCCTCAGTGGCCTGCAACTGGATACTTCGGACGGCTACACTTCCTGCGCATCCCCTGGAAAAGTCCTGCCCAGGACCCCGGGCCTTCTTTGTGGCAGATATTCGAGCTGATTTGGATTTCAGAGACATTCAGCAGCAAAGCGTGCTTTTGAAGTGTCGAAACGCCCTTCTGACTGTTGCTGTTGAGCACGGCTCTTGGGCACATCTGCCCGCTTGCTTGTTACAAGGCTACGGGGCAGTGAGTGACGAAAGAAATCGCCAATTCCGAGACTTTCTGACACTACGTGAAAACACGTGGACCTGTGGAGTGTTCAAGCGCCTGAATCTTTTTAAGATAGAGAGACTTTCTATCTTGATGGATGACTACGAGGAGCATTCAAGCTCTTGCGTCTGAAGGTGCGACTACTTGGAGCCAAGCCCTGGTTGAACTTCTTTCGTCATCTCTGTGGCGGTGATTCTAGTTAATAATGTTGGCACAGGATCCCCAATGCGACTTCGCGCTGATGCTTCCCTGCTCGTAAACTACCATAGCCATTACAGACTTCGATGAGTATCGCCCTGTCATGTAGGGGCTGAAGAGCTCAGCTCAACGCAACAGTTGGACTTGATCCGTTCCCATTTCTGCCAACGTGCCCTCCGACCAATGGTGATGAACTTTACGTGACTACCACCTGGGAGAATTGGTAACCTCGGTATTGCCTATGTATTGAAGCTCAAACACGTGTTCCAGCAAAACAAAGAATCCCGAGTGCACACCCAGCACCTTCTAGGTAGAACAGTTCAGAGGCCTTCTCGACACAGCACATCTGCAACTTGAGCACAGATTCACCCGGCCAGATTCAAAAGCGAAGCAACTTTTCAATCCCATCTTCGAATGTTGTGTCCAGAAAATTACCAAAAAAAAAGGGCAGTGCCCATCGCCCCACCCAAACACTTTCCCAGTGCTCAAAAAGAGTCTCAAAGATCGATTCCTTTGTCCTCTCGCTTAATTCGTCCGCACTCGAGGATTCGAACACCGGTCTGTTGGCAAAACAAAAAGAAACGTCTTTGTTAGCTGAAAGTGGTTTCGATCCACTGTCCTCCGGGTTATGAGCCCGGCGCGCTTCCGCTGCGCCATTCAGCTTGTTGTTGAAATTCCTTTTTCTAATTAACAATATATACTGAGCATGAATGTCAAGACAATCGTACAAGCTTAAGCCAATAAGCGTAGAGAAAAATTTTCCTGTTTTGCAGTGACTCATCCGGCATCGCAGTCGACAAACGAGGAAGGAGCGCTCGGTCTGACTCACCGCCGACACCAGCCACTGTGGCGGCCGCCTCCAGGTACCTCAACTGCAGCCACATGAAGCGTGATTTCGCCTGTTCGTGTCAGCCTCAAGCTCTTCATGAGAGATGCGAAGGATGTGAGGAGTGAGGACGTTGATTACTCGTTCTCTTGACGAGCTCTCTCCGAGTCCTTTGACTTTCCCGCTTTCGCTTTGTTTCTGTGAAGTGTGCAGTGAAGACGCTTAGTCTTGTCTGGTACACCAGTCCGTGGAACTCGACGAGGCTTTTCGGGTAACAGACAAACCTCCAAGATCCCTTGTGCTGTAGTTTCGCAGGCGTAGCCCGCCTGTTGGAGTGTCAGATTCTCTTGGTGGCCTTGCAAAACTCGTCGCCGACTGCCGGCTCCCAAATGCCCTTTTGCAGGCCGAGCGCAGCGCTTTGTCTAGTCAACCAACTGCCTGAAAGAGCAAATTTATGGCCATTAGGCGAATGGAGAAGCAAGAGGACTGCATCAAGACGCTGCAAAACAGCTGTTCATGTAGCAAACACCCCAAGGCGGCTTCAACAATCACCTGACTAGGTGATTGAGAACTCCTTGGTTCTATAGTGTAGTGGCTAGCACATGAGATTCTGAGGTTTCCCAGAGCATTCTCATAACCCCGGTTCGATCCCGGGTAGGACCTGATCTTTTGCTGAATGATTGGGAGAGGTTTTGTTTTGCGTCGTGGTGGTCGGTGGTTGGTGGTGTGGAGCTTCTGCGGTGAAAATTTTCGGGGCATTCGGATTGGGCTCGGCGTTTGGGGGGCACCGACTGGTCCAACAGCGTCGAAAACGAGACGGCCAAAAGATGGGATTGTTTGGTTGAACGTTTTGACGGTTCCGGTGTTGAGCGATGGGATGGACTGCAGGTCGGGCGAACGGAGCTGGGAATCGTATGATTCCAACCCAACAGAAGTGGAGAAGAGATGAGCATCGCTTCTCGTGGCGGGTGCATCATCAACAACTCAACAGAGCTTATCGGCGTCTACTTCTGAGGCCTTGTTGTGTTCATGTTGAAGCAAAGCAATCTTGCCCCTGAAACAGTCCGCTTGTCTGATGCATTGAACGACTGGTACTTGGTGCAGATACATGGGACTGGCATATTCGCATTGCTTTTGCTCTATTTGACTATCGAACAATGTTCCCAAGGACCTGATCGTGTTCCTGATATTTGCAACGAGCTTTCGAGGTCACACTTTGCTTTGAAGCTCCCTCTCAACGGTTGGTGAGGACCATCTTCGATAAAGAGGTTCATTCGACGATTAGAAAGAGACGTGAAGTCATGTCCTCGCAGCTCCATGCTCCTTGATCCTGTCCAATGACGTGCGACAGCAGATATGGAATCCGCATCGATGACCACATCAATCCGTCCAACAGTAATCAGGACAGAAACCTGGAATGCGAGACTGTTGGGCTTGAGGTCGGAGGCTTCCAAAGTCTTGTGGACAACGCCCTGGACAAAGCAATGGACGGCAGGGTTGACGACGCGGTTTGTGGTGTCAAAGAGCTTCGTTTTTCAATCTCGAGTACATGATACACTCCCTTCTTGCAACTGTGCTTCTACTGGAAGCATTTGATGGTTTCCTTCGTGATATCAAACACGTCGGGCTCTCCTTGACGGGGCACTCCAGCTTCGAGCTCGTGTCGTGATTTTCGTCTTCCAAACTCGACACCACAACGCAACATGACGATTCCCCGGACCCAAAAGTGGAACGCTTGTGGATATGGACCATCTGAAAAGAAACAGCCGCGATTGGTCCATTTGTCGCCGGATCTGCGCAGATGGTCCGTGCCCGCGCAAAAAAAATCATTTCTACGGCCCCCCGTCAGTTCAACACCACAAAACAACACCAAAACAAAAGGAAACGTGGGAATTGAGCCCAACGCGGGGCTTGAACCCGCAGCCTTAAGATCTTGCTCTTCCAGGAAGGAATAAGAGTCTTACGCTCTACCGATTGAGCTAGCCGGGCGGCTGTTGAAGGCCGGAGACTCAACTTTTGATTATGAATGTCAACCGCAATCAAAATCCAGGCGCAGAGCGTCAGAAACACCTCGAATCAAGTCTGTACGCTGTCCATTTACGCTGTTGAGTAGTTAGGAGAGACGTGGCTTGGTCCCTGGGGAGAATTCAGATGTGTGTTGCCGCAGCCTCGCGTCGAATGAGATATTGTAGATGAATCAAATCAGTTTCCGATAATTTACCGAATGACAGTCTCCATGACCTCAAATCTTCGGTTGAGAGAGCTGCGAGACTCGGTGGCCGTTCATTTTTGGCCGGCAAGGTTTCTCGTAGACGGGGTATTTTGTTTTCCGTTGGCGAGGCGAAGATACTGCGCCTGGCGCCATCGTCAGCGCCTACTTAAGAACTGTGCCGCATCTCTCATGTCGAATCCCAACTAAGCGACGTGCGAAGAAATCCCTTCAAAATGGTTGGATTGAAATGTTTTTCGACAAAAATAGAGCTCAAGCAGGCGTATCGCTCGAAGTTATGCGCTCGTCAAGAGCCTCTAGTGACAAGGAAACAAATGGGAGAATAAGATGGAGGTCCTTCGTAGAGAATCTGGACAATCAATCACTTCTTCTCGAACATCCGGAGAAGAGAAACAGCTTTTCCAAATTACTTGCACATACCAGCTCTCCAAAAGAGTCTGCCACCTTGAAGACTCCAGTACTCCATCATAATGCCTGGGCAGAAAGACCGACTTTACGTTGCTTTATATCTTCGCGGCGCCAGTGCTCCAAAGATGCCAGGCGGCGAGGACATGTGATTTTCCCTAGCCACCGCGAATCAGCAATGAAACACTGACAAGTATTCAATGTGCAGATACCATTGGGCGCTTCTGGTTGGTCCAAAGTCGGAGTAAAAGTCTTCCGAAGGGGTGCGATATCATGCGAAACAGGTCTCGAATGCGAAGACAAGGAGGATGGAGTGGCAACTTGAGGAGCGGTCCACTACAGTACTCGCAACCAACGCACTCCTTGTGAGGGTGATGATTGGAAAGGTGGAGAAGAAGAGTCGCCTTGTCGATTTGATCCGGGGCACTCCTATCCGTCCAAACCAAACTGGATGGAACTGCGTGGAGTGGGTGAAAGAGGCGCTTGCCAGAATCCAGGCCGATGGCAAGGCAGTCGGTACCGGTGTGTTGGAATGGAATACTGTGCGGGACGGAGCATTGATGTTCTGCAAGAGGAAGAAGGATCAACACCGTTTCGATGGCAAGGGAAAGTTTGATATGGAGAGAGCAGCGACCTACGACTTGATCGAACGGAAGGAGACGGTTCCTTAGGTGTTGTATGCAAATTACTTCGATACAACGCTTTGTCAGAGATGGTTCTTCAACACAGCATCTGTTCAGAAGCCACCGCCAAACCGCTCTCGTCGAATCTTGTCCAAAGCCAGCTCCCGGGGCAGAGGATTTAAGAATTTGTCAATCTCCTCGCTCCAGAACAGATTCTGCGGATTCACCTGGCATGCTGTTGTGTATTCCCAGTAGTCAGGAAACCATCCTGAAGTCTCCCAGTCGACGATGCCTGTGATATCATCACCTTCGCACATGATGTTAAGACTACTCAGGTCACCGTGCGTGAAAACTGGACCAGACCAAGGACCTTCATGGAAGCCGATGAGTTCGTTCACCTCTGGAGGCAGGTCTGCATGGCTTTCCATGCCAAGTCGCAAGTACTTGTGGAATTCTGGAATTGTCGCAAACGGTCCGTAGCGCAGGTCAGGGCCGGGCATACTTGGGCGAGGGTCGTACAGCGGGCCGCCATTGATGTTTGAGACCCCGGGGCCAGGTGCTGATATTTGTCGAATCTGCTCCACCATGCTCTTCAGTTGTGAGAGTATTTTCTCTTTTGATTCCATGTTTCGAAAGACCCAGCCCTTCCCCAACATATGACCTTTGATTCTCTCCATAACAATGTATGTACATCTACGGTGAATGAAGGCGCAGTGGACTTTTGGTACGGGGACCGTCGTGTGGTGCGCAACAAATATCATCGCGGATGCTTCAGCTAGGCTTTTGGAGGGTCCATACTTGACGCACAAGTGAGCTGAAAGCATGAGAACGCCGCCTGATTGATGGCGACGAGAATGCCCAAGGAGTGCGACAGCCGTTAGTACAGCAGAACGAGAAACCCATGTATCGTTCACTGGAGCTGCCCATGGTGGAGTCAATGATTCTGTAGGTCGTGCATTTGATGGATCATCCGTCGCTGATGACATGTTCAGCAGATGAGGACGATGAGGTCGTGTATCGTCAGTCGGAAAGTTGCGCGAGGCGCGGACGCGCACTGTGAGGAAATTTGTGCGAGTCATGCTGGCCAGAGATTCCGGTAATCATGACTCGCCACCTCCTTCTGGTGGTGTTGTTGAGTTGTCGCGCGACACTTACCCATCTTGACCACAACATCATTCATCAGCAACAACCTAAGATACAAGCATGCGAATTGCCCAGGCGATGCCGATTCCCCGCGTGGATTGACACAGATTGATGCTCAAGCAACGAACAGCTTTGTTCCTTGCTGTACCAACAACCGGAATTGTCATTTTGGGAACTTCAGCTTCAATACTTGATTTTCATGATGGAAATCGTCGACCACGACGAAATCATGACGTTCAGTTGCTACCTCATCGCTGTTAAACAGCAGGTCAGCAATCTGATCAGTCCTGGAACCAATTGCATGGCACATCTAGGCGTCCTTGCTTCGGCTTTCGCTTTGGAAAACGAGGCGGTATGCTGTGGCTAAACTTGACGTCTGCTCCACGGGAAATAGTTCACGCAAGTCATTTTGAAACGACCGACGATCTGACATCCGAATGGCCTGCTCAACGGCGAAGGTTCGAGATCCAGAGGGTATCTGAATAGCAAAGACCGTATATCGGCATCTCCCAAGGTCGACTCGCACAAACTTTCTCCAGAAATGAGCTGGAAAGCAGCATTGACGAAACAAAGCCCAAGACTTCGCGACATCTTGCCCATCTTCAGGTCAAAAGCTCGTCGTCGCAAGTGCTGCGCATGAAAAGAAGACATTCAAACATGGTCTCTGGTGATAGCAAGCAAATGTCGTACGTTTGAGAGAGGTGTCGGTAGACAAGCAGGTAGAGTTATAACGGTACGCCACCGATAGACCCAATCCTTCAGCCTCCTCCCTCATCGCGCCGGTTCCCTCCGCTACACCGCGTCGGTCCGCACCTCAGGCAACAACGTCTACCACCCTGGCTTCGAGTTGAGACCAGGTATCCTCAAGTTTCTGTCATTTGCAGTACTACAAACCCTCAAAACTCCATAATCGACATGAATTAGAAGTATTCACGACACTGATATCGCACAGCTGCTAGCTCTCTTTCACGACATTGTCCTTCCTGAGGCAGGAACCTCAACGCCTCCCCACAGCCACTCCCAACAGGCGTCGATTGCGCAACCCCTGGCGAACCTTGAAGCATTCAACCGGACCCGGAAACTTACCTCCTTCCCATGGCTCGCGGCTCCGTAAAGCCTACCGGTACCGACCTTACCCCAATCTTAACCTGACCGCCTCGTGCTCGGAATACACCTGCTTGAATCGCAGCCACCTGCCTGCTCAAAGTTACCGCATCATCTGCCGTGGAAAGGGGGTGCCCACCAGCCAGCCTTGCGTAGTAGCCGCACGCACGACGCGCTCCCGCCCGTCCCGTTCCCTTCGTCGATCCCTAGCATCCCTGTTTCCACCACCGCCCATCGCCAACGCTGGTCACTGACTGGTAGCATTTCCGACGGCTGGCTTATTGCCCCGCTGTTGCAACGGTGCCCACGCCTGCAAACCCGATTAAGGTACAAATCGGTACCTAGGCTCAACAACGGCGAGCACTTGTCGGCGTCGGCGACGGTTCGGTCTCTGTGCGAAGGAAAATGAGAGTGAATGACTTGCAAGTCGCGCCTTCATGGGCTGATTTGAAGATGGGACGAAAGAAGGTGGAAGCGGCGCTGAGTCTGCCCGACAGCGTTGCATAGTCGCTGACTCGGGGCCGACTTGTGTCAGAACCGCAGTGCAGTTGCATTGAGGCTCGGCACTTATTCTTGGAAGTCAATAGTCTTCCACCACAAAGATCAACTCCTGGACAGAAAGCGATCCGGTACTCAGAGAATTACTCATTAAGCCCGTCGATCTAGAGTCCAGTGGACTCACAGGGTGTCGCAGAGCACTGGCAGAGAAGGAGGAGCTGAACATTGGCATGCAGGAACAAGGTTTGCCCTCGGCTCATCTTTCCACATTCTGTTTTCCAAAATATGCAACCTCTTCTATAGTATCTCCTAACTTGCTATCGGAATTTCCGAGTAGAATGCTACGTGCTCATTCGATACATGGCGAGAAACTACTGGCATTCTCATTGCGAAGTCAAACGCGCACATACCGTGCACCCCCTGCATCCACAGTCCCCCCCCTAATATATCGTATGACCGCATAGATACCCCTGGAAGTTGCTATACCCAATCAACCACGGCCCCTCCTCTCTCTTGCTTTCCACCTCGGAAACCGAATCAGGACTACTTCTCGTACCACTAGAACAAGCAACAAGACACATAAGCGTAGTACCATCTAGCTCACGAGAGCCAAACGGAAGCATGGAGCCGTTTCGAGAATGGCGCCATGCAACGCCACCCACAATTCACACATGGCAGGTTAAACGCGTCCAATACGCGGCGCAAACGGACGCCAGTTCCGCGTCCAAGAAGAGTTAAGCATAGCGCGAACGACAATAGCTGCCGACGCGGCAGCGCGGCAGCGTGGCGCCAAGTGGCCATCTTGGGGCTTGGGCATCTGCTGAGTCGGCGACCTCTCAAACAAGATGAAGGAGACAATGAAGGACATTGAGGTCTTGGTGTTTGAATCCCATGACTTTCTCTCATTTCCAAAAAGGACGTCGATTTGTTGCTCAGCTAGGTCCTTGTTCGCAATGTTGATGACCAAAGAGGCGATGCGACACTGC